CCCTCTTTTTTCCTTTTTCTCTTCTCTTTTAAAATATTTTTTCCTTTTTAAATATTTTTTCTTTTTTTCCTCCCTTTTCCTCTTTTGTATCTTTTTCCCTTTTTCTTTTGCTTCTTTTTTGTTTCTTTTTTCCTCCTTTCCTTCCTTTTTAAATTTTTTTTTTCCCTCCCTTCTCAACTTGCCCTTGTTAGCATCTTCTTGGAAAGCTTTTAGCTGGTTGCACTGACATCCCTCAGGATCATCTGAATTTGGGAATTATTTATATGGGACAGATGGATGTGTGTGTCCTTGTGGTGTGATTTCTACCCCTGCAGATTTTTTTTTTTTTTTTTAAGGACATACAGACTTTTGAGTGTGGCCCGTACACAAAAAAAAGATAAGGAAAGACTCAACCATGCTTCTTCAAAAAATGAAGTAACCATAAATTTGAGTACATGATATTTTTGGTGTCCACCCCTCTGTAACCCAGGCTATTTATCACTTTAACAAGCTGTCTGCACATGTGTTTCATCTCTGTGTAGTGTTGCCACCTAGCAGTGAATTCTGTAAATTACTCCCAGTACACAAAGCTGAAATTGCAATGAATTACTCCAGCCTTTGGCTTGTTGGAGAGGCCATGTGGTCCTTCTCAGCAATGTCCAGCTGAAGGGTATTATGTCCAATGAATTTGGATTTAGGAATTATGTGAGTTTCTCTTTAACCTACCCTGCTTTTCTTCTCTTTTCTCTGCATCTGTCTTCTTTTCCACGGTACTCTACAGTGTATATTTTTCTGCCATAAAAAGCAGTGTTCAGGGAGACCCAAAACACTGGCTGACTTCAACGCAAGCACGTAGCATCAAATGTCCGATCCTTTTAGGTAATCACAGTAGTCTCACAACCTCTCTGCTTGCCAAATATGCATGAAGCTGTGCAAAGGCATTTTGCTTTAAATGAAATGCGTGGAGAAAATGAATGCCATTTAATTTGTAAAAGCATTTGAACAAGGATGCTTTTCAGTGCTGCCTGTTCTAAGTCCTTTGCAGTATATATTGATGGTCTGATAGGAAAATGAAGTCCCATGCTCTAAATGTTACCAAATCACTTTAAATGATTTCTGCAACAGGTAGCTCTTAGTCTTGTATATAGTACATACATTTTTTTAATGGGAAATTGTTATGAGGCTGTTACCATGGGAGGGAGGGAATGTGGAAACACTAACAGAGGTAAGGCTCGGAGTGCTGTAAAAACATCAGTTCCAGAAACTTTATAGGGGGGAACTTGCCAAAGCAAAACCCAGGGCAGGCAGTGCCTGTGTGATGGATGGAGCTGGGCTGGCTCCCTTCCATCGTCACTCGCTTTGAGCGAGGGGCAGCCAAGCTGTACAGCTGCAAATTATTTGGGTAGGAGCTTCCTAGGAGCTGCTGAACAGCCTGCAATGCGTGCAGGGACGGGAACACTCGCTGCACATGCAAATCTTGCAGCACGTGGCCTTCTGGTTTTGGGGGGGATAGGCTGCCTTGCCTTCGAATAACAGATTGAAACTCAGCCCTGGGCCGTACCTGAAGCAGAGCCTCTGTGAAGGATCAAATGCTCTGCAAGGAGAACAGTACATCCTCACCCTCCACCTGACTTGTAGGCGATTTCCCCATTTTCGATGCTGGTTTCAAGTTTCTTTCACCTGATCCTCCAAGTTGACCGGTGGGAAATGTGCCCAAGAATAGTGGGAACTGGAAAACTTCAAAGTTCAGTAAGCTACAGTAAAGTTTGGTTAAGTGTTTATATTCTGGGGGCTTACCTGTAGCACACCAGGATCCTGCTGATGTCTGATGCCTGACAAAATGTTTTCTTGTTGGTCCTGGAGGAGACTTGCAAGGGTAGAGCTGGGATATTCCCAGCATCTGCCAAGCTGTAAAGTTGGCAGCAGTCGGCGTATGGAAAGTTGCAGCATGAATCATGTATTTGCCTGCTACTTTTTATTTTAAACATTTTAACTGCTTCTTTCAGATACCCATAAAAATGGAAGTACCAGTTAAGGAAGGTAGTTATAACATTTGTAGTATCTTTAAACAGTGGAAAAAATAAATAGTGTTCCAGGTAAAAAAATGAGCTGAATGTGGAATTGTGAGGTAGATGGCCTTATAAAACATACTTACTCTAACATTTGGTTTAACAACTATTTAGATTAAAACTGAATTTTCTTGGCTGCATTAAGGTATGCTTTTAATTTACATTTTTGTTATACTTTTAAAGCCTGGCTGTCACTGTCTTTTCAGTAAAAGAGAAACTTCTCAAAATACTTTCTCGCTTCATCGTGCTGTGCAGCGTGTTTTGTGGCTAGGATGCTAACCTTTGCTGGGAGGTCGATTACACATCTGCACGATAAAAGATATTTTCCATTTGTGTTTAAAAAAACAAAAAAAAAAAGCATCTGGCCTCAAGCAGTGTCCTCAGTGTACCGTACGATGACCCAGTCAGGCCTGGGATGGGAGGGCTGCTTTTGGGAGGGGGCTGCTGGCTCCCCTTGCGCCACCTCCCTGGGGGCCTGCACCACTGGGCACAGCCTGCAAGAGCCTTTGGGCTCACTGAGCAGTTTTAGGTACACCCAGCCTAATAATACTTAGGCTAATAACACTTTGGTTTACAGATTTCTAGTTTTTCAAAGCAAGAATGGCAAAATGGCTCGGTTCATCAGCCCGCCTTTCTGAAGGTGGGTCAGGTTTCACAGAAATGGTGCTATACGCTGACTTGGCAAAGTGAGACCGGGCATCTCAACCCTGTCCTACACTGTCTCCTGCAACAGGATTTTGAAAATATGAGGAAAATTAGGTATTACCACTTTCTGGAAAAGACTTGGATTGCAATTGCAGCAGGGGCTCAGGTGTCTTAGCATAGCACAGTGCATAACGCTGCTGAAAAGTAAGTGCCTCCACCTCGTGATGCCTCTCATCAGCAACGGGGCTGTGGGGTTTGTGACCCTGCCTGTGTGATTCAAAGCAGCATACAGACCAGCACTCCAGATTTGTCCATGTCTACACTGACCTCCGCTCTTTCAAAACAGTGAAGCTCTTGGTAGCTGAGGACAAATACAAACATAGCACCAAAACTTTTCCTTTACGTCCATCTTAAAGCTTCAGTCTATTTCTGTAACACTAATCTCATTGTCAAGGAGCAAGGCAATGGAAAGTGAAGGGGGGGGAGCCTATAGCCCAACTTTGCTATTGAAGTCAGTGAGAATTTCGCTATCGCCTGCAGTGTAATCTGATGCCAGACGTTTAATGACACAAGCTCTCACCCTGGAGATCGCCCTTCTCTTTGTAAAGGCTTTCTTGAGAATGTTCTGTTCCTTTGCTGCTTACACGATTCCTACGAGCATCAGCGATGGCTGGATGTACAGAGGACTGTAACATATGCAATAAACATCCAGGATGGAAGATGAGGTTTTTTCCGTCTCGGTTACGTTATGTGTTGTAATAGCTATGCTGATCTTTTCCAAGTCCCCAGTGAGTAGCTGTTCTCACTGCATAACACTTAAATCTGTGTCTGCATTTTCTGAAATGCCAGTCCTTGTTTCTTCTTTTTATAGAGAAGACTTGGATGATAGGAAAGAACATATGAAAAACGGTGCAGAGACTTTATAGCTGAGTTTCATAAAGCCAAGAGGGGAGAATATGTTTTTGCATGGTAGTTCAAACCATGCATTAGAATTAATTGAGGGATGCCCTACGGAACCCTTGGTGTCTTTGACTAGCTGCAAAATCATATTCAAAAGAAGGAATAAGATGTTGAGCCATGTCTTTGTGTTTTGTAGTGCAAATTGCAAATTACACAGGTGCACTTTCCTGTATTTT